CCAACTAAATCTTAACTGTCATGGGGCCTGCTACTCTGGGGGGCCCCCGGGACCAGTGGCACCGGCCGCAGCCTGGGCAGTCCCTGGGGCCAGCTGCCCGGGGCTACCAAGCAGCGGCTGGTGTGGCTGCTCCAACAGCGGACAGTGCGGCTGGCTGCGGAGCCGCTCCAGCAGCGGCTGCTGTGGCTGACCCTACGGCCACCTGAGCAGTTGGCCCCAGGGCCAGTAGCTCAGGTAGCCCAGGGGGTCATCCACACTGGTCGCAGCAGCTGCGAAAAAGTCATGGAGGTCACAGAAAGTCATGGAATCCGTGACAGATTCGCAGCCTTAACCATAACACACCCTCAGGTCTTGTGATGCTGAGAGAATTTTCCAGATAGCTAGCCTCTCTCTGCACATGTGCTCTGTAATCCATTAGCCACATAAATAGGCACATGAGCCTTAGAACTGCTTCGCATGCACAAAGGTGGAGAACCAAACTCTTTTTCAAATAATGCTTTAATCTGAGCTCCCCCAAAAGGCTGATGGGTGCCAGGGACCCTTGAGCAATTGAGATCCTGGTGAGATGATCAGAGCCCTAGTTTCATCTCTATCTGTGCACAAAAATATGTTACTAGAGTGTGTCATCATTAAGAAACGCTGTTTTTTCCCCTGAGAGTCTGTACCTCAGGAACCCCTTGGTCAAACCTACTAACAAGAGGTAGATACGAAAGTGAGGATACCAAGGTCAATGTCTTGTGAGAAGCCCATTTCTATCATTACCACCCTCAGCGCCTAAGCAGAGAGGGAACTCCCTGGATCCTGCTGAGAAATGTATCCATATCAATCTGATTAATAGATTCCTGAAAATTTGAAGTTTCACTACCCTCCACTCTCCCTTCCCACTGGGTCTCTAAGCTGTCTGCTTACCAAATCAGCCCAATTATATTCACTGAGAGAAGATTTTAGATAACTACAGAGTTTTAAAGCCTTCAGTAAGATAAAATAAATAAAAGTTCCGTTTCCACCCTGAGCTCACTCTCAGCCTTTCACAGGTATACTCATTTGAGAGGAGGCAACTTTAAGTAGGATTTCCAACTTGTGCAGCTTTAAGCCTCAATTCTGCAAGGTGCCCCACACGGGTGGTCCTCTGCGCCTGCACAGAGCCCCACTGAAGTTATCAGGCATCTATCTGTATAGAACAGCTTGCAGCATCAGAATGTGAGTAACATCTGCAATGGCTGGAATCACCAGCTTATTCGTAAAGTAAAACTCTGAATAAAAATTTAGACACTATTAACTGAACAAAGAATCCATAAATAAGAAGTGACACTCATTTACAGTGATTTGAGCATGACAGCTCTCAGTAAGTTTTTGGTTTTGGATATTTTGCTCCAAGAGGAGAAGACAAGGTTATTCGCTTAGAAAAAAAAGCCAAACAATTGTTTTGCTCAGGATCCACCCGCAGAACTGTATGCTGCCAATATCTTACATGCAAACAGAACACTAATGCAGAAACAGATAAGCTTCCTAAACAAGAAACAGTGCAAGATGTAGATCATTAGATACAGGTTTATAAGATTCTCTGTATCAAGTGTCAGACCAATAAGTTAATCCCACCCGCATCTGTTCACGCTAATAACCCACAGCATAGAGAACTCAATCCATAAATACTACAATGATCTTACAGGAAATAAAACCATCTCATTTTACTTGTAAATTTTGTAACTAAAATTAGTGTACTTTTTAGAAACCTAGTTTTATTTCCTTCAAATAGCAAACATACAGCAAAAACAGCAAGTACAAAATAGAAGATTTTAGTTCAAGTCAATTGAAAAGGACACAATACATGCCCCTCAAGTAATTTTCTTATAAAGCAAATAGGAGAAAAGAAGCGTCAGAGAAATGAGAATTGATGTCTACCCATCTGAAAGAGATATTTCTGTTCTAAACCTATGAAAGATGACCTGAAAAGGAAAAAAAGACACTGGGTTTTCTGCCCTTTTTTGGTGTTTGACATTTTTTTATGAAATACAAAGAAGTCTTGCTTTTTTATTTGCTCAGTTTGTACACACACGAGAAATTCTGGTGTTGTCCTGTTTTTCTGGAAAACTGTAGATAACTGGAGAAGTAGGAGGCTTATGAAATCAGATACTAAGAAAGTTAAACTTGATTAACTGAGAAGGGAATGATTTTTATTGAGATTATTTAAAACTTTTTCTGTAGGTCGTCTATTTAAAGGGATATAATTAACTTGTAATCTAGTCAGTTTCATAATGCGAGTTAAATGTTGTTTGAGGTACTATATCTGCCTCTCAGTCAATTTTCTACTTTTATCATCTTATATCTTAAATATTGTTCTATGCTGCTGTGCAAAAAGCCAACAAAACTGACTATACACAAACGGTCAAATGCACAAAGTAAATAAAATGGGGGGAAAAAATCAAATCTCTTTCAGTTACATAGTTACAATACCCAAGATCAAATTAGTAGATAAAGGGGCACAACTTCTGTCCAAATGCCTTTAACAAATACCCAGCAAGCAAATAGAAGAAAAGCTCTCTGTTAGAGATTCAACAGCTTAGCCCTTCAATTACGGGATGAAAAAGCATCTAAGAAAAACAGAAGTGTCAAGACTTTATATTACTGATGTTTTTTTAAAAAAAAATCAGTGGAGCAGAAAAACACTTTAAAGCAGGGGTGGTCAATTATTTTTTGTCAGGGTCCAAATTTCTTGGTCAATGTATAGGCAAGGTCCAGAGAAAATAAATTTAAAAAATAACAATAATGATAATATGAAAATAAAAAGATTTCAGGGTCCATTCAAAAGCATCTGGCAGTCTGGATTTGGCCCAGAGTCTGCGCTTACTGACTACCCCTGCTTTAAATGTTTTCACCTCTTCTTTGTCATAAAAAGGGTACAAACCAATATACTAAAGGGGGAGCATCTATTTGGGTATCAAAACAAAGGGATCTGCAGGTACAATCACATGATCACAATTCTGAAGGTTGTGGGTTCAAGTCTCACTCGATTTCACACTGAAAGGCCATCTCCAGTTCACCCAGCTGCAAAATGGCTAGCTGGTCCATCAGGTTAGGGCAGTCAAAGGCACTAGGACACACTGGCCACATCATTACCTTGTGTACTTCTGGCTATGAAATTGACATCACTTAACCATGTCAACCCCATGAGCCACTGGCTCAAAGGAACTTTGATTTTAACTAATTATTGGGAAGGAGCAAGCAATTGAAATGAAATCCACAGATATTAAACTGGGAGTGGTTACAAATACTAGTAAAGACGGAAATCAGTATTTCTTGAATTGCTGAAATTAGAAACGTTAGTAGGCAATAAAATTGTGAGATTAAATTTGGGAGAAAAATACTCGTTATAGATTTCAGTGGCTGAGAAGACCTCTCGGAAGTGGTGATGACAGTCCAAAAATAATGGACTGTGAATTAGACTTGAGTCTGCCCACAGACCCAGGTGATGGGACCCTCACCTTTTCTATCAGCCACTACTAGATTTTCCAATCCCTGATCTCATCATGTTTTTTACAATTTAAAAGTTCTCCATTCAAACAAAAGAAAACCATTCTTCCACAAAATAAGAAATTTGGTGGAACAGATTTAGTGTTTCTTTCCTATCCTCTTTTCCGCTCTAAGAACTTCTTTGCCCCATCAGAGCTTTAAGGATTGTTCTTTTCCTCCTCCTCAGACAAGATTTTTTCCCCTCTAATTTATACATCTCACCCTCAAGGCGGTATATTCCTAGGAGTCACACCCTTCTCCTATGGCAGTGCCCAACGCTACCCCCAAAAGCATCAGAGTAGCATAAAAGTGGTATCTTTTATTATAAAAAAAGAATTAAATATTCAATAATATAAAAGTAATCCAATGGACATTTGTATTTAATGCATATGTAGAATGCTTTACTAATTTCACCCCAGCTCTCCTTTTCCATTAGCCATTGGTTAGTTAGCCATTCAGTTTGTCTCATCGTCCTGTGGTTTCCTTGCCAAGGATGAAGAGTGCAATGCATCCAACAGCTGCAGAGAAGCACTCACAAGAATAGCATTTGTAAAATGGGCACGTGATAGTTTACTACTCCACCCCTATTGCTACTGGCACTGCAATGTGTGCCAAAAATGATACTTATAGTGTTTTAAGCTACTGAGTACACAACTGACATGGCTACTGTTTTAATGTGGATCTTAAAGTAGATCAGGGGTAGGCAACCTGATCTTCAGTAGCACTCACACTGCCCAGGTCCTGGCCACCAGTCCGGGGAACTCTGCATTTTAATTTAATTTTAAATGAAGCTTCTTAAACATTTTAAAACCCTTATTTACTTTATATACAATAGTTTAGTTATATATTATAGACTTCTAGAAAGAGACCTTCTAAAAACGTTAAAACATTGGCACGTGAAACCTTAAATCAGAGTGACTAAATGAAGACTCGGCACACCACTTCTGAAAGGTTGCCAACCCCCGAAGTAGACAATATATTTATGTCTCTTTAAGAGACTTTTCCAACTTTAGCTAACCCTATTTTAGGGAATGATTCTCCTGATCATTTCATACTAATTAGAGTTAGGCCTGACCCAAAGTGTGTGACTGGTCTTCCCCATTAACCAGAAGTGCTCAGAGTAGCGTTTATGTCATCTTCCCAACCCCATACCACAAATGAAACAATAAACAGATCTTTATCCTGTCTTACATATGTCCTGAACACCTGCTCCCTGGGTATAAGTCTGGGTGCATGTGAAAGAGCGTCTGTACTATGCACAGCCCAGCAGGAGACACCGCATTGTGAAAGGAGAAGGGAACTGTCAGTGCTGCACAAATGTGACCCCCTCCCCTTGGGGAGCGAAGGGGGAAGTGTCAGCGCTGCTCAAACCTGCCCTTCCTCTCTCGGGGGAGCGGGGGGGAGTCTGTCGGCGCCCGGGCCGCAGGAGGCCAAGCCGGAGCCTCCCCCATCGCAGCCCGGCCCAGCCGAGCCCGCGGCGGAGTCCCCACCTCTCCTTGGAGTAGAGCTGCTGCTCCTGCCGCCTCTTCCGGGTGAAAGCCATGGGGCCGCCCGCAGGCCCCGCCGGGGGTGGAGAGCGCGGGGCCGGCCGACCTCCCCCTCACTGCCCGGGGCGCCCGCGCCGCCCCTGGCGCATTTATCCCGCGGCGGGCAGCGAGCGGCTGCAAACCCCGCTCGCCAGGCCCGAGTCGGGCTCCGTCCACACGGCGCACGGCGGTGGCGGCTGCAGGGATGTGCCAGAGCCCGGCCCCCTGCCGGGCCCGTGCGGGGGACACGCCCCCAAGCAGCGGCTACTGCTGTTATTGGTTATTAACCAGGCCGGGCAGTGGGCGGGCCCGAGCGGGGCTCCCAGCTCTTCCCAGTTACGCAGAGCCGGCGCCAAAGCCGGGCCACCGCCACTAGCCTCCTTCCCCATAACCCGAGCCGCCGCGCCGGGCCGGGCAGGGGCCCTGACTGGGCAATCAGAGCTGTGCGCGGTGCTGTCTGCGCACCCCGCGGGACTCTGCCCCTGCAGAGCTGATGGCAGAACTAGGCCTTAAGGACATCGTCCTCCTGGAGTCTAAATGGATCAGATTAGGGCTGTCAAGCAATTAAAAAAAATAATCACGATGAATTGCATTGTTAAATAATAATATAGGGTTACCATATTTTAATTTTTAAAAAGGAGGACACTCCATGGGGCCCCGGCCCCGCCCCAACTCTGCCCCCTCCCCTGAACGCTCTGCCCCCTGCTCCTCTCCCTCCCCTGCTTCCCGCGAATCAAATGTTCACGGGAAGCCTGAAACAGGGAGGCAGCAGGTAGGCTGGGGCGGGGTGCGGCGCGGCTCAGTCCGGCCCTCCTGGCCGAGCGGCTCTCTTTGGCGGCCGGCCGGCCCAGGCCAAGAGGCTCTGCCCCCGGCGTCTCCCGCCCGGATTGGGCCCTGGGGCCCCCGGCCAACTGCCCGCGCCCCAGCCCCGGCTCCGGCCAAGCACCGCGCCAGCCCCCAGCCAAGTGCGCACGCCCCCGGCCCCCGGCTGAGCACCGCGCTGACCCCGGCCCCCAGCCAAGTGCCCGCGCCCGTCCCCCGGCCGAGCACCGCGCCGGCCCCCGGCCAAGTGCCCACGCCCCCG